CAGTGATCCTCCTTCCTCGGCCTCCTGATGTTACATAGTTTTTTATGCGGCAAGATTTTATAAAGCCAGAGAGAGGGCTTTGTATGTGTATGATTTGTTGTGGTCTATACTGAATGTGTGAGTAGTGCCTCCTTTGTTAGTGCTTTACAAATATTTTTAATGATTTGCATGCTATAAGGCTAAAAGTAGAGTATGAAGGAAGATGCATCTAGGCTGTGCTTTGAGCAGAAAGAAGAAAGATTGGCAAAGAAGTTGCTGAGGTGGAGTTGGCTGGCACAGACACAGGAATGGTGGCTAATGGGGTGGTGTGTATCTCCTTCAGGGAAGCAGAAATTGCTAACACGGCATTTTCAGAACGCTTGGAGAAGGCCTGTCGGAACTACAGGTTATCAGCCATCTGTGTTTCACTGGCAGGTGTTACAACTTCTTATGCTGCAGCTTTCCGTGTGCACGCGAGTGCACTGGGCGAGTATCAGCCCAGGGGTGGCTGTGCGGGGCCAGTCTCCGCCACACCACGCCACGCCACGCCACGCCACGCCATGCCACGGCGGGACTCCAGGCGCATCCTTCCCTAGTGAGGCCACTCTTCTGGCTCACCCTTTGTGCTTTCGAAACGTGTACATTGTATCCACTGGTGTCTGGCTCCTTTGACATTATGTTTATGAGGATGATCTATATTGCTTGTTGTGGCAGTTCTTTTCATCTGCTCTAATGCCTCGCAGGAATTTTGTTGAAGTGTGATAATTTAGTTTGCCTTTCTGATCAAGAGAATGTGATGCATTTCCCTTTGGAGCCTCTTGGATAAGGGTGCCGTGGAGATCCTGTTTATTTTTGTCACTCATTTGAGTGCAGTTATGTTGGATACAGGTATAGTAGGCCACATTTTCCAAACAACGGTGGATAGTGCCTTTTTATCGGTACCGGGGATCGAACTCACGACTGCCTCAGTTGTGGATTCTTGCCAGAACTTAGGTATTGTATTTCAGTTTGGGACAGTATGACTAGAATATCGTGCTGTCTCATTGAGATGGTGAGATGCTGGTGATACCAAGCATCGTTCAGTACGATTGGAGGGCTCCAGGCTGCCTTCTGGAGAGGTTTCTTTCTTAGGTCTCCTGTGCCTGTATTCTGTTAGTCCGGTTCCCTTCATTAGCCTGTAAGCGTTTAGTTGGGTATATAGTTTAAAAATAACTTTTTCCAGTATGTGACCGATTTTTACCATCTTTGTGGTGTATCTTGACAAAACAAAAGTTATTTAATATGATTCCATTCATTGATCTGTTGAAGTTACTGCCATTGGTGTCTTGCAAGAAATTCTTGTTTAATCTCAAGGCCCAAAAGTATTTATTCTGTGTTTTCTTTCAAAGACATCTTTCAGTCTCTTAAACTAATGAACATAAGAACAGGCTTTTCACCAGTCGAGGGTTTCACTTGCCCAGCAGCATTTATTTAAGACTGTCATTTCTCAAGAGTCTGCAGGACCACTTTACAAAGGTCAAGTATGTGTGCACAAACACACACACACCTGTACCTAGTTTTGTGCAAATGTACATATGTGCCTTACTCAGAATGTTCCATTTTATCGAACTCTGTTTGTCCAATACTACATTGTTTTAATTACATAACTGTATCAAGAGTCTTGCTACTTGATAGAGAATTTTTCACTAGTATTTTTTTCAAATTAATTCCTTTCAGCTCTTATATTTCAATATGAATTTTGTGAACTTATATGAAAAAATGTTACTGAGATTTTGACTGGAATTGAATTAAATCTGTAGACCGGCTTGGGAATGAAGAACATTTTTATGCTATCAGGCCCTCTGAGTCATGAACATGATACGTGTCTTGAGGCCTTCTTTAATTTCTCTTAGTAATTTATTGTGTAAGTACCTTACTCTTTCATTAGCTTAATTCTACATGTTTAATGTTTTTCAGTGCAGTTGTAAAAGATGTTTTCGTTTTTATTTGTTCCTGTTTTATGCATATACAATTTTATTTTTAATGTAGGGGATAAAGCTACTTACTTGATTCTAATGGTTTGACTCTGCACTATTTTTCTGTGTATACTCTTGTCAACTACATGTAATGTTTCTCCTCCTTTTACACCCTTGTGCTTTTTTCCTCTTGCCTTGTTGCACTGACTAGAACTGCTTGCTCATCATTGCACTCAAATGATGATAGAAGACATCCGTGTAAACTTTGAGTATTCCTCCATGAAGGTAGGATGTTTGTTACAAATTTTATTTGTAGAAGCCTTTTATCACTTTCTAGAGTTTTCATCATGAATGATTAATTTTCTGTACCTATGTAATCACATCACTTTTGTCTTTTATTGCTTTAACGTAGTAGATTGCATTGATGCTTAAAATTACATCAACTTTGTATTTCTAAATAAGCCCACTTTGGTCATGGTGTATTATCTTTGTATATTTGCTAAATTTCAATTTTGATAATTTCTTTTTATTTTTATTTTTTTTAGAGAATAAAACAAAATAAAACAAAACGAAATAGAACAGAACAATGGGAATGATACTGGATTCCAGAAACAAGACATTGTTTAATCTCAAGGCCCAAAAGTATCATCGATCATTTCTTTAGGAGTTTTACACTATGTTCCTTAGTGAGATTGGCTTTATGTTTTCATGATAAAAATGTTTGAGAAATGTTTTCTTTTGTTGTTCCCTAGACCCATTAGAGTGAAGTAAGTACTTTTATCTTTTATGTTAAAAATAAATTGTATATCCATAAGATAGGAACAAATAAAAATGAAAACACCTTTTACAACTGTACTGAAAAACATTAAACATGTAGAATAAAGCTAATGAAAGAGTAAGGTACTTACACAATAAATTACTAAGAGAAATTAAAGAAGGCCTCAAGACACGTATCATGTTCTGACTCAGAGGGCCTGATAGCATAAAAATGTTCTTCATTCCCAAGCCGAGCTACAGCTTCAGTTCTGCTCCAGTCACCATCCGGTAGGCTTCGCCACCTGCCTCCTTACTGAAGTGTGATGTTAGGGCTTCACATGTTGGACGGTGCCAGAAACTTGGCAACATGTTAGTTCCTTTCTTCCAGTTCAGATTTGTCATTAGGATGTTTATGTACTTTAAATTGTATTTTAAACCCTGTGATACCTATAGTTTTTAGACTTAGTGCAACATATTTATTTACATATTTATACTTTCCCTTCCTTTCATCCTGCATTTCCAGGCTTGTGCCAGGGACTGTTCATTCTGCCTAGAGAATACTTAACTCATATTTACTCTTGTATCCCATGTGCAAGCAATTATCTGTTTTGTTGTTCTGAATATATTTTTGATGCACCTGATATTTGAAAGGTTAGTCATCTTTTTTTTGATACATTTGTTTCAGAAAACTCTTAATTATTCAGTTTTCAGATAGTCTTCTGTCTTATTTTTGTCTCTTTTATGATACTGTGGTTACACCTATATTAATACCTTTGTACTGTATTCCACACATGTCCTTTTTGTGTTCAGTTTGAATATTTTTTATCTGAGTTTTGGTTCATGAATTGTTTTTCTTTTTTACTTATATTTAACATGTTGATAACCATTTGGATCTTTTTCTAACTTCTAGAATTTCATTTGATTCTTCTTTATGATTTCCATTTTCTTCTAAAAGATTTAGTTTTTATTTCCTTGAATATTTTAGGCATGGTTATTTTAATACCTGATTCTGAAACTGCTGCCCAAATATCCTGGAGATCTGTTACTGTTGTTTCTCTCTTTCAGTTTTAGGTAATATTTATCTCCTGGTGTGACTGATTGTGTTTGATGGAATGCTAGGTATTATATTTGAAGAATCGTATTGCATTTGAGACTAGTGTCATGTTGTCTTTATTCAGAAAGATTGGTTTTGGCATCGGAAAAGTGGCCACAGGGACTGGCCGCCCCACACTGTGGTAATGCCGGCAAGGATTGAGAGTCAGAGCTGGATTTGGCTTCTGTTAAAGTGGCTCCAGATCTGGCTCACCATTGCTCAGGGTTCCAGTCCTGCCTTCTTGGTAGCACCTTGGCTATTATTTTGGCCCTCTTAGCTTATGAAATTTGTCTGTCTCTTGTCACCTCTCTTCGCTTCTCTCTGTCTTGAGAATTTGCCAGCCCTTGTAGGGAAATAAATCCTCCAAAGAGGAGTACTGCCTTGTTGGGTTTTCTTCTTGTCTGATACCATGACCCTTATAATTTTTCACTGTCTTGGCTGTTTTCAGTGCTTTGAGAAAGATGCTTTTGTTTTTACTACTTAAAGTTGATGGTTACCCAGTTTATCATGTGAAAACAAGATAGAGTGACTTCACTGAGTTACAATCTCTACATGATTATTTTAAAAATTTATACTTTTTTAGATGGTCAAGGATTTTCACTTGATTATATTTATATGCATGGTTTCTTAGCATAGAGTTGGATGTACATTCTTACCTGCAAGCTTCAAGGCATATAAAGAAATCATTATTGAAATGAATGGGTACTCACAGAATACTATATAGTGGCTAAATTATATTTCAAATAAAGTTAGCAGATGGCAAACAAAAATTTTTAGTATAGTTTTGTCTATCAGGGATGAAATATTTCATATACAAAATAATTCATTGTTATACAACGTTTATGTTTTACAAATTTGTGTAGATTCTTTGGTTTTCAGAAATTGTGCAGTTTCGTTTATTTTTGAAATATTTTCTTTTTTTTGGTAGGGTAGTGTTTCTTGGAATTACCAACTAATAACTTAATTGGCTTAGGAAGATAACGGTTTTCTCTGATATACTAACTCATAATTCTAATTTAAACAACAAAATGCTGTTCTCTTTGTTCATCTTTGGAAAACTTGAGGAATGGTAACTATTTGCTGTGGTTTCTGTGTCTCTGAGTTTTCCTATTTACTGTTGAAGAGATACCCCGATTTACCAAGGGTTCCATGCACTGCCCGGATAGGGACAGCGTCAGTCTGAATTCTCAATCCTTTTCTGTCTTCGCTGCTTACAGACAGGGAACACAGTCTCTTCAGCCTGGACCTGTGTAGAAGAATTTGGAGAAAATAAGCAGGTAAGAAAGAGTTTCTTAGGAATATTGTCATATATTTAGCTTACAGACAACCTGTCATAAATGATTCTTAAGGCTTTAAGATGTTTAGACTTATTTAATAAAATTAGTAAAATGAAAAAGTCCAGCTGGCCCCCATTATGAACATGCTACTAATGCTGAATCACTGAGATGGTGCCAGACTTACAAGTTAGGCTCAGGGGGGAGTGAGTGTGTTTTATTTAGATTATCTGGTGTTTCTCAAACTAATCCGAAAATGGGAATCTTAACTTTCAATCTCACTCAACAACAATCTTATTAGAACAATTCAGAATAAAAGTATTATTTACTAGGTCTATGGTGCTTAGTTCTTTTTCAAGATAATGAGAAAAATAAGCTGTAGTAGAAAATTAAAAGCAGTTTATGATTTGAGTGAGTATCATTACTATCCAAACTCCTTTTTGCATAGAGGCAAAGATGGTACTATGGTTCCTGGGAAGTAATCCATGTACCATTTTATATCTTTGAGTAAATTCACCTTTCTGTGCTTCAGTTTCCTGCTTGTCAAAGGGGGTAACAATACTTACCGGTCTTTATAAGAATTCAGGTATACTTATCTTGTGATTTTTGGCATCTAGTAAGTACTCAATAAATATTAGCTGCTGTTAATTACCCTGTTCTTCAGACATAAGGAGAACTCTCTTCTTTATACTTGAGATTTGTCACTTGTTATAGCTCTTAAATCCACAGCGTAAAATTTTACATGCTATTTGTGATGCTCTGCTTAGTACTACCCTTTTTAAAACAACTTTTTACAGTTTAAAATTTGAGTTTTTAAGACTTGTTTATTGGAAGAAATGAAACTTGAAGAATTGCTTTCTTAGGCTTTATGTTCCGGTCAGTTTTGCTGAGATAATTCATTGAGTGAACCACAGTTTTTCATCTGTTCTCAAGCCTGTATTGCTGTATCTCCAGGGACAAGTTTTCCTCCTAGAGGAGACTGGTACTCTGTTATTTTTCCATGTGGTTTGGAAAGTAACTGAAAGAATTTGCCATAATTCTCTCTTGTGCAAAGGTAGAAAAGTAAAAACTCTAGATATGGTTTGGCCTCCTACTTCTTCAGAGGGAAAGCAACTGGACTTAATTTTAATAAGATAAGAGGTGAATTGTGTTAGAGTGGTCCTGGTTGTGTTTTTTAATTTTTTAAACTTTAAAAAAAGTGTATGTGTTAAATCTTGGCCTCCAAGAAAAAAAAAAAATCTTGGCCTCCATAGTCATTTGTGTTTGTAGTTACTGTTTTAACATTGGAAGAGTTTTTTTTTTTTTCTGTTCTGTTTTTTGTGTTTTCCCATTATGTATTATTTCATTAGAATTCCTCCTAAACTGATTATCAGAATTGTTCAGTGACACCTGTTTCTGAGGTTTCTCCAATTTGGAAAAACTTGGTACTGTATACTCCTCTTTGAAAACAAAATGCATGTTAGCATATTAAATAATAAAGCCTGTATTTTTCTGTTAAATTTACCTCTCCTAAACTTTTCTAAGGCTAATTTTTCTAAGGAAATCTTTTTTTTTTTTTTTTGTCTTTTTCCTTTTTATTGGTACCGGGGATTGAACTCATGACTGCCTGCTTTCAAGGCAGGCACCTATGCCTCTGAGCTAAACCCCCAACCCCATTCTAAGGAATTCTTGTTGCAGGTAGACTCACACTTGAGTTGCAGAGGATGTAGTTTGGGAAATACGTAGATTAACCCAAACACTCACTTGAATTTTGTTTGTGTGTTTATAAATTTATTTGCCATGTAAATTGTGTGGGTCTATATAAATTTATGTGAAAATACCAGAACAGGCAATTTTATTTTCAAAAAGGTTAGTGTTTGCCATAGAAGAGGGAAGAGGGGATGTGGTATGACTGCTGAGGGGGCTGAGTTTATATTTAGGGGGAAAATACTCTGGAATTACGGATTGGTGTTGTACAACTGTGTGGATACTTCACACACCGTGGCACACCGCAGAAGGTGTGGGTATGGTGGTGGAGCTAATACGTAGCTAACCGCAAGAAAGAAACCTATCATGAAGAATGCATTTTTTAATGGAAAAATTAGTATAAGTTAGTATAATATTGAGTTAGAAATAAAGTAAAAGGCCAGAATTAATGAGAAGATACCTTGACAAACTCATGTTGAAGTCACTAATAAAGTTTTTTGATTTGCTTGCCAAACAACAGCTTTAACATTAGCAATTTTGTCAAAAAGTGTCAGATTAAACTTGGAAGTAAGTGAGGAACAGTTTGAGTAAGTCACCCTACCCGTTGGTTGTGTTTTCACTAAGAAACATGGTGGTGGTGACCACGCCAGACGGTAGCGAAGGAAGCAGGTACACACTGCGTCCTGTGGCCCTCACTGTCCCTGCGTCCTGGGGCTTTCAGGGGCGTTTTCCGCTGCCCGACCGAAACTGCAGCGAACCCTGTCTGCTATTATTTGTGTAGGTTTTATGTACGTCATATTTGTTCTTTGCAAATGCCTATATTCAAAGTATAAATGTGAAACTTGAAATGTAGAAAAATGCTGTATCTTAACAATCCATTAGAGTAGTCCTCACACCTCTTTTTGTAAAGTAGTTTTTTTCCTCAAATGAAATATTACAAAAAGTTGAGCATTTAAGATGAGGAAACAGGAGGCTTTGACTCCACTGGGAAGAACTAAATAAAGTTTAGGCTAAAAATGAGAAAACGCCCTTTTTTCTTAAAACGGTAGATTTTTTGGCTAAAGTATTTTGATGTTTTGCATATCTGTAAAGTTAAAATTCTTCATTTGCTTCTGATAAAGGAAAGGGGATTTCTGTTAGCATCGCTTAGAAACTTACTTGTGTTATCTGCAATTGCAGGTTGTATATAAATCTCATTTGTGGTAAACTAATGCAAAATTCAAAATCAGATGTATATCAGATACAGATTTTTAAATAACTGTATTATTTAAATCAATAATACTTTTTCAAAAACATAAATTAAGGAAACAGCTGCCAGGGTTGACATGAGAGGCGTGGCCATGGGCAGGTGTCAGTGAGGTCCAGGTGGCCGAGAGGCACACGGCTCCTTCCAGTGCTCTCCTGAGATAACCTCCAAAACAGCAGATTGAGTGGACTTAGCACTTGCCTATGTTTCTTGTTGGCCAAGACTGGCCTTAAGCTGTTGCCCTCAACTGATCCCGACACCTTGGCCTCCTGAGTGAGTAGCAGAGCCTTGCACACCATGGTGGAGTCTGGCTGAGGCTTATTTTTTAACGTCTTCTTCTGTTCAGCTGTGTGTGTATATAGATCAGTTTCATAAGCAGCCTCCTTCATACAAAAGAGGTCATTTGGATTGGAGACTTGTAAGAGTCTCAGACTATTCCTGGTGTGTGATTTTTGAATTAGAGAATTTGGCAAAAAGGTAAAATTTTCTGAAATAAAAATGATCCAAAGGGTTGAATATACTTTACCAGAGATGTTCAAGAGGACAGTGATGTGTTACTAATCATAGGGAACTCAAAATCAAAACTACAGTGGTCACAGTTCATATACATTGGACTAGCTGTGATTAAAAAACATTGGCAGGACCAGGTGTTGGTGAGTTGTGCATAACTGAGGCCTCGTGTGTGTGGTAGTGATTTCTGCTGCTTTCTGTGATGCCTAGATTATATATCATCTCCAAGGAAAACATGATTCTACTTATAGACCTATTTTACTAGTTATTTGCAGCTTATATTTCATGTTTTATTTTCTAATTATCCAGATGTTTTTCTGAATGTATTTAGATTCTTAGTGATTATAGGAATAAAATTTATTTTCAAAGTGCTTATAAAATCTTACAAACATCTGAAGCTTTTTATTATGCCTAATCTTTATAATATTGGGGGGAATTTTTTTCCCTTGATTTGTCCTACATGTGAATAAAGTAATCACAGCCAGCTTTTAATTTTGTGTTTACTCTTAAAATATGAGAATTTAGTGGTGATTAGTATTTATTTAAGTTAAAGGTTTAAAGGGCACTGTTAGAAATGCAGATGTGCAAAGTATTATATTCCTAGCCAACAGTTTGTCTAGCTTCTTTTTGAAGTCTTCCTGAGTTTTTTTTCTGTGTCTACATTTCATTAATAGGCTCCATTACTTCTTGAGTGGATGTAAACTCAAAACAAGTGATTTTTCTCTGAAAACTGTATTTTCCCTGTCTTACCTATTATTATGAACTACATTAAAAACGATCACATTAAGCCTGTTGTGGTGGCTCACCCCTGTAATCCTAGCACTCCCGAGGCTGAGGCAGGAGGATTGTTGTGAGTTCGAGACCAGCTTAGACTACAAAGTGAGCGCAAGGCCAACCTGAACTGCATAGAGAGACCCTGTCTCAAAAAGACAAAAAGAAAAAAGACCACATTGGCAAAATTTTAAAGAGCCAAGTGTATCAGAGGTACAGGACTAGTGGTATCAGGGATCAAACTCAGGACCCTGCGCTTGGCCTGGCGGGTGCTGTGCCGCTGAGTATATCCTCAGCCCTACAGTGGTAGTTTTGCTCACGAACTTAATTCCTGCTGTGATTTTGGAAAAGATGACCAGGTTTGTGTGTTCATGCAAAAGGTGGCTGTGGTCATGTTGGTCACCCGATGCAAGTTGAAAACAAAATTTTGCTAAATGCTGCTGTGTGTGAACAAAATTGTTTTCAAACAAAAGCATTTGTGAACCTAGGTACCGCTGAATTTGTATATAGTCTTCAGGGGAGAGGACGTCTGAACTGTCCTGTAGTACAGGCATTTGGTAATACCTGGGAGCCGCTGACAGTTCAGTTGATACTCATTCTTAAATCCTTAGGTGAGGGGACTCCTTAAAAGAAAAACTTCTGTGGTAATTGAGTCATCCCATTTTGGGTGTTTGAAAGCAGGTAGTATTATAGAGATTTCTCGTCCAGTTTCCAGTCACTGAAAATACTGTACTGGCTATTTTATGTTTTTCTAAAATTGCTGTAGATAAGGTAACATTTGTAAAGATTAAAAAGGCTATGAAATGATTCTAGTAGTGTTGCAGTGCTAGAAATTAAACTTATATTTAACTGATTTTTATTTTTTCCATTTTTTCTTAACTAGGTCCTTTCTGATGTTGCTTGAGCTTATTCTCCTGCAGTTGATCTCATTCCCGTTGGCTAAACATAAGTTCCATGACAGCACTAAGTTAATGTGCCTGTGTTAGAGGCCTCATTTATGATACCAGGACCGTACTGCAGAGAACATAACTCTCTACTTGTCCGTTAAATGACCTAATTCCTCTCCTTTTGTTCCTAGAAACACCATAACTTTACATACCCATTATACATTATCATAATTTGACTAAAGAACATAGTTGAGTTTTTGGAAAATATAAGATTTACCAATTTGGTCTTTAATACACATATAATTATTAGTTAACGAAGCAGGAAATTATTGGTGTATATGATGAATGTGTACTGAGGAACAGTATTTCAAATAGAATTATTTTTAAATTTGGTTTAATTTTTGGATATTTTTCTATACTATAAGTTGATAATGGTTTCTTAAAGTTTATTTTATGAGGACAATTCATTTTATTGTTGTACCAGTAGGACTATTAAATTGGTATGTGGAGTTTTATAAATGTTCCTATTAGCTTTAAATAATGAAATATTGGAAGTTAGTTTATGCCAAATGTTTCTAAAGTGCAGGGGTAATATTTCTGCTGTTTGATAACTAATACAGTTTTAAAAAAAGCAACTATGAATTGTTGTTTTTTTTTATCTTTTCTTCATGAATTACCCCTTATTGCTAGAACCAAATTTAAAAGAAGCTTTTTTGTGGAGCGCAAGACAAATCAGAGATTTTCTATGTTAAAAAAAATCCAAGAATGCAATCTGTTAAGATCTCTGAAGCATTGTGTCAGTGAAGGAAAGCATTAAATTCTGACTTGGTAAAACTATTAGGATTTGCATTGCAGTGACCTTGGAAGTAATCTTTACCACTGATAGGGTATCATCAGGATCTTAAATGTTAAACATTATGTTAAAATGTGATTATAGTTTTAATGCTTTGTCTCTTTGAATTAAATTTGTGTCCATAAAGATGTGCAGTGTAATTGTTCATGTATTTATTTACAGACTGCAGTTTCCGTCGCAGCTCAATAAATAGTCTTTCCCCTGTTAGTGCTACTACCCTCTCTTCTGGGATTCCCAGCGTGCTTCCTTACACTTCAAGGCCTTACTCTTATCCAAGCTATCCCTTGTCACCAACAGTGTCACTTGTTAATGGCAGCCATGTGGGACAACGACTATATATCTCCAATCAGGCCTCATTCTTCTGAAGAAAATCTGTAAACATTAGTATGAAAATTACTTTGTGTAAAGCATGCAAAGTAAACTACTGTTTTATTTTAGAATCGGGTTTGCACATTTGGCTTTAAAAATAATACATTCCAACATACTAAACAGCAACTATAGTTCAGAATAACAGAGTTATAGAATTTATTTTAAGATGCAATATTTGAAAAGTTATTCCAGGGTTTGCAAACTGCTATTCTTTTTAAACTTATGGAATTTTCTTGTAATTCCTGAGTGGGCAATAGATCCCAGTAGTTTAATTTATTGTGTAACTACTTTGCAAAATTTTTACAAATATTAAGCCACTTGAAAGGAATAGTTATAACTAAAGATGATAACCAAGGATCACTATCTCTTTTGGAGATTGGAACAATTATATATTAGGTAGAAAGAAATGATGAGACAAAAAGATTAAGATGCTAATTTTATGTAATACTAAAGATAACACAGTCTACCATTGTGGTCCTTGAAAACAGCTATAAATATTTTAGTTATTAATTATTTGTTACAGAAATAAATTCTAATTTTGCTGTTAATATATTTAAGGATTTTATAGTTAAGCTTCACTTGTGTTTTTGATATTCACTGTATTTGCATAAGAAGTGTTAATGGTTTTTAATGTTGAAATCATGTGTTGTTTAATTTTTGTACTTGAATTTGAACTTTTTGACATTAAATACGTGATGCTTCTAATGTGTGTTTTATTTTTATTAGAGCGCACATGCACACAGATCCACAGAGCTGTCACAGTCATTGATCCTTGAGAACAGCTTTTCTCACTAGGTATATGGTCCTGGGGTTATAGATTCATTGTCTTCATGAGAAGTCAAGCATTGCCGGGATAGTGTAGGCTGAAAATTGTTAGTTTTATAAAGCAGTGACGACATTTCTAGGTGCTGGTAGAGTTTTTGGATAGATCCATTTTGGTGTTCCCCACCCCTTGTGATTAATGAATGAGTCCATGTCACTTTGACTGTCATTAGTCGTTTAAGTGAATAATGACTGTTTTCATAATTGATAGAAAGAAATCAGGTTCAGTGATACTTTTGTTGATCAAGGCCTCCTGAGTCTTGTATTTAGGATTTGGCTACAAGGAACTTGAAACAACTGTAAATAGTTTTCTCACCAACTTGAGTTTCTAAGAGAAGTTGTATGAAGAGTAACTTGACCTCTAAAGAAGGTTCATTGAACACAAATCACATGTGATACCTTTTTTGCTGCCCTAACTTACATGAGTATGGACTGGATGCTTAATTGGCAGTTTTCTCGCTGACACAACTGTGAGTGAGTTATGTAGATTTTGCTTCTGTTTTTTCTGCCTCAGTTTTTGAGACAAGGTCTTGCTGTAGTGAGGCTGGCCTTGAACTCACGGTGCGACCTAGGCTGCCCTAGGATAAGCATTGTTCTGTGTCAGCCTCTCAGGGGCTGGGCTCCGACTGTGCGTGTGCTTGCTGTGTGTTTGTCACACATGCAGCTCATAGGTGCACCTCACTCACTAGCAGCGTTCGGTGTTCATTTAGGTGGTGTTTACCTCTGGGGTACACAGATGCCCGAAGCCCAGCCGAAGGGAAGCACATGCTTGAATTTTCATAGAAATGCCCCCATTTGCACTAATCGACACAATGCAAGTCTCCACGTGGCTTTACCACTTCGGGAGGGAAATTGCCAAACAGTTGAAAGTTGAGGGGCTGGGGATTTAGCTCAGCGGCTTAAGCGTCTGCCTTGCAAGCAGGCAGTCGTGAGTTCGATCCCTGGTACCGGTAAAAACGAAAAAGACAAAAAAAAAAAAAAAAAAAAAAAAAAAAGAAAGTTGAGTGTGTTCCAGGCTCACAAACTGCACAGAGATCCTTGGTAACAGAGGGAAATGTGTAAGTTTTGGTTTCAGATTGGATTACCACTTCTGCCAAGTAATAGCGTCTACACCTGGGCACTTTAATGTGAGTCATACTTTTCAGTTCTGTAAAATGGTGACACATTTCTTAAAGGTCTAATATTAGAAAACATTGCTGTTGAAATAAACTGGCAAGTCCAGTAGACGCACTGCCATGGACGCTGCTGCGCTGCTGTTACTCTGAATTTCTGTGAAGGCTGTCATGTTCATTTCTTGGCAATGTTCATCGTCTCTTCCTTCAAATGAGAAATACAAAATGAGTACCGTCAAAGGTGCAAAGCGATGATTGAGCAGTTAATCTTACATTGCATAATTTTATTTGACTTGTGGACATAACTATTTACCACCTTAATTTTTATAGGTTATATAAGGTCCTTGCTCCAAGCAAAGGCTTCCCTAGTCAATTGATCACAAAAACTATTGATAAGTGTTAGCAACGATACAGCTTACTGACAGCCTTTGTCAGATTTTGTGGGCAGCATTATGACTGATGTGGGACTGAAGCCTGCTACGAAGTCCTGCTCGGCTCTATTTCAGGCTCCTTGCAGAAAGGACAAAGATACGCAGACAGCTGAGTGAACCTCATCTCTTCAGTTTGCTTGCTTGCTGCTTTTGTTTATTGGAGACAGGATCTTGTCAGGCAGCCCCTCTCCTCTTGCCTTAGCCTCCCAAGTGTTGGGATTGGAGGCCTACACTGTCATACCTGGCCTCTACTTTGCTTTTTATGTTGAGCGAATAAGATTTCTGTTGTAATGACTGAAAATCTAGACGCCATAATACAAAAGGTTGATAAATCTCAGTTTGTAAAAATAGCCTGTATTGCAAAAAGTATTACAGGTTATGTCAAATGACAAATGAAACTGAAATAGTGTTTCATATTATTTCACAGAGGGCTAATGTTTAGTTTTTAGGTGCCAATTCAGAAAAAAGCCAAGGAACCAACAGAAGAATGGATAAAATATATGGAGATATGTATATCTAGACATTTTTAAAAGATGCTTTATTTTACTAATAGAAATGCAAAATAAAGTTCAGGCTGAGAGAAATTCAGAAGTTTAGTAATCTTTAAGTGAGCCTTTAAATGACTGTCCTCACAAGTTGTCCATGGAATTATAAATTGGGCTTAATTTGTGTGTGTGTGTGTTTTTGTACTGGGAATTGAACTCAGGACTTTATTCTTGCCAGCCATGTGCTGTGCCCCTTAGCTAAATCCCTGGCCCCAAATTGACTTAATTCACAGAGGACAGCTTGGCAGTTTTTGTTTAAAATCACAAGTACATCTTGTGATTGGCACTCTGTGTGTGTGTATGTGTGTGTAATGACACATGCCAAAGGCTATTACAAGACTACTTAAATTTATCAGTACACACTAAAGAGCTGCACAAAAAGGGGTGCAAAACCTGAAGTCCCTCTTTTATTCCAAAAGACTAAAAAAAAGTGTATAAAATAGTGCTGCTTCTGGGTAAAGAGGAAGGAATGGGGCTGGCACATAGCTCAGTGGCACAGCACCTGTCTGGCAAGTGCAGGATCCCGAGTTCAGTTCTTGTTACAAAAAAAAAAAAGCAGGTATGCTTAAATTTGTATATCAAACTGGAAGAATACACAAAAACTCAGGCACAGCAGTTCCTTGGTTCACAAACTTAATTCTTTACACGATTGTGGTTGCAGACCAAATCAGACGAGAACCCAAATTTTTGCACAAGGTCAACCTTGAACTTAATTGTTGAATTTAATTCAGTTCCTGTCAGATTTGGTTTGCAACCGGAATCAGGTAAAGAATTGTGTTTGTGAGCTGAGCGTGGTGGCTCACACCTGTAATTCCAGCACTCGAGAGGCTGAGGCAAGAGGATCGTGTGAGTTCGAGACCAGCCTGGGCTACAAAATGAGCTCAAGGCCAGCCTGAACTGCATAGCAAGACCCTGTCTTAAAAAGAAAAAAAAAAATTGTGTTTGTGAAGCGAGGCACCACCGTAGTTGCAAGAGAAGTAGATGAGACCACTCCATAGAAATCTCTCTAGACACTGTGGTGATTTTAAAGACACAATCCTTTGAAACAAACAGGAAGGTCTATTAGTGAAAAACTGCACTGATGCATGAGAGGCCAGAAGTCTATGGGCTCTAAGTAGAAAACCAGAACAAAATATTGATCTCTAGGAGGTAAGCAGCACCACAAATAGTGCACCTCACTGCTTTCGGTTCAGGGGAATCCTGTGACTTGAAATCATGTCACTGTATACTATACAATGGGTGTGAACTTCTGGTGGGAAAGGCATGTTGGAAGTCCCTAGGATTTAGGGCAAAGCCGTGTTCTCTTAGGCAAACAATAGTTTTCCTTTTGAGAACTAGTTCTTAACTAGTGACTAGGCCTTTGTAGAGACTATGGGATACCGGTTAAATTGAGCTGCCCATCGTGAGTTGGGAGTTACTTGATCAGCAAATTCATAAATTAAGCATGTCTAACTGTACTGTCAAGTGAAAGGGACGTGTGGCGATGGCTCAGATGTGGCTTCTTGCCAGTCTGCCTTTTCTTACTCCTTTTGCATCATGGAGGGTTCCTAAGATCAAGTGGCTAAGGGACAAAAATTGAGAACTTAGTATCCACAATCCGAATCTTTACACAGTCTGTAGACACAGCCAATACACACATGACCCATACTGTCAGCATAAAAAGGACACTACAGTTTCCAAGTTACATACCAATATATGTAAAAATACAGCTCACATTCTAGCAGCTATTTTTGTTTTCTGAGTCCTTGCTGTAAGTCTCTGTGGAGAAGAAGGGGTGCATTGGTCTGGTCCAGAGTAGAAACTGGTAAATGTCTATTAGGAGGTTACACACAGGACAAGATAAGACATCCCCAGAAAAGGCTTGAGGAATCTCGGCTGTCTGGCTAGGGTGAAGGGAGACAGCCCACTCTGTATGAAATCAGATTAGAGTCCACAAGAGTTGGCTAATTCTTCAAGTGAAATTCCAACAACGAACTGAGAAATATAGCACATTTAAATGCACAAAAGCTCTAAAAATAGTGAAATGGAGAGAGATGAAATTTATG